TGATACAATTCAGAGTTCATCACAAACACAAACTAATCAGTAACTAAACAATAAACCTTATTGAAAGAGGTAGAATAAGAGAGAAACGTTTTATAACTATCAACAATAGGACAACTTACATTGATAAGCTCCCGAGTTTCCTCCTTGATATCGTCAGTAGACTCCACAATCGGCACTGCATTGAGTGAGGCACCGCTCATGCACTTGATGGCGTCGGCCACTTTTGCATCACTAGAAATCCCAAATACGAAATCGCAAATTGCTCCAAGTCCTTTCACGGGTTGCTCGAGAATGCCTCTCAACTCGTGCTCGTGATCCTTTAGGAACTTGAGGAGGTCCATTTGTGTGACCATACGGTAGCTCGATGCTGACTCGATTAGCTCAACTCCGGCTATGTTTTCCATGTGGCTGTCCACAGGGACTAAGGCTCTGTGTATGCCTTTGCTGAATACTTCCATACAGTCAGTTATGCTGCCAAGGTTTAATAAAAGAGGGCTTAAAGAAATGTTGCTGTGAAATTAAAATTTCACAACCAAAATATATGAATTCGCTTCAGATGACAACAAAATTGAGGTATATTTGACTAATTGAAATATTGTGAACAAAATCAAACGAAATTACTCAGTGTTAGGGTTGAGCGTCCACAAGCTGAGGCTCTCGAGACACTGCCCGATAATGGAGGACACCGGAACCTGCATTTTCCGGTCGAGATCTGCGACGTCGGCGCCGCCCTCCGCCGCGCCGACTTGATTCCCGGCGATGTGAGCCAGCACATCAAGCATGGTGACCATCCCTATGTACTGCTTCCTGGTGGCCCCCGTCTGCTTGTCCGACTCCATTATCATCGATCCGCCGGCGCCGATCCAGTGTCCGGGCGGCGCGGCCACGGGAACCGCCGCCACCTTGTTCGCGAGCAGGGCGTTCATCGTGTCGGCGAGGGACGCGGTGTACGGCACCTCCACGAGCCTCCTCCTATTGCCCGCTATCAGATCCCTCACTTTCTTTTCCCTCAATTTCTGCGGCTGGGCCGCGGTGGCGCCGCCTCCGCTTGCGGCGGATGGATCTTTTCCTCCGGTTCTTGCGGCTTGCATCGTTTAGGAGCTTTTGTTGCGATGGAGAAAGGGCGAAAACAGTATGGCTGCCATTTGCTTGTAAAATTGTTTTTGTAACCTGTTCTGCATTAGCCGAGGAGTGCTGATCAGGCACACACGTGTCAGCACTGGAGATGTACAAGGGCTATCGTTCTGACGCGTGGCTAGAATGGTGCTGGCCCACAACGATGTCGCGAATCGCGATTATGATGACCATGAGGGTTTGCAACTTATGCTCAATCTATTTATTATTTAGTTCGCACACATCTAAAAGAAAATAGAAATACAATAAATGACATTTACCGTATTATATAATCTACATCTTAAGTTCATATTTTATGTTTTTTTAATAAAATAAAATCCTTCATTTCAGGGATCATAAGTATTTAATTTGTTCAAATTTATCTACATATCGATAATTTAAATTTTGAATTTGAAGATAACCCGAATCTATAATTGCAAAATATCGTTTAATAATTAAATCAGCCGCAACTTTATGATTTGGTGTTTTGAAATTCAGAAAAAAAATAAAATCATTAATTTAGGGGAGATATGTGATAAATCTATCTAAATATTGTATGCATCACGTTTTACAATTAAAGCAATTTAAATATGGAGATTAAGATATTTTGAATCTCTGATTTAAACAAAGACCATAAAAATATGATTTGGTATTTTGAAATTTTTAAAAAAAAAATCATTAAATTTAGAGGATGATATGCGATAAATCTATCTAAATCTTGTATACATCACGTTTTACATTTAAAGCAATTTAAATATGGAGATTATTCTTATTTCGAATCTCTGATTTAAATAAAGACCATAAAAATTTTGATCATTTCAAAATTAGACACGTGTATTATTTTTCATAATAAATAATTGTCAAACAAAACAATTGAATCAGCCGTAACTTTATTCTTTTAATTGAAACTGCTCGATTTGATGGTTAGAAAAAATGTTTTCAAAAGAAATAAACAAATAATTTTTTTTAATATATTTTACCCTTAAATTAGCCGTACTTTTTGTAAAAAAATAAAATCTGATAATCAAAACATATGTATTAGCCGATTTTATAAAAAAAAAAAAAAAAAAGTTTCCGATATTTTGAAAATACAAAGTATATTTTTAATGTTAGAAAAAATAACATAATTTTTTTTATTAAATCGATCGTAACTTTTTTATTGAAAAATAAGTTGGCAAGCAAAAAAATTGTATGAGCCGAATATCTGGGTTTAAATTTGGATAATATAATTGGCCGATATTTAATTGAATTAGCAGTCATGACGTACATTTTTATTCAAATTTAAAAATAGCTTCTTGTAACCAATAACCAAATTTAATTGGTGCAGCCCATGCATTATCAACTTTTGATATGCACATCGTGTCAAGCCATCACAAATATTCAATAGACCAAATTTAAATAGCAGCTCGCTTTTTTGAAAATAAAAAAGTAACAAACTTCTCAGGACAACATTTAATGCTGTCCGTTTTTAATAAAAAAAATATTAAAAAGATACTATAAATGACATGTAATTAATGTTGATCAGTTTTGACCAAGGATTGACTTACTATATTTTATAAATAGTAATTCTTATTATATATATATATATATATATTATATTTTAAGATGCATAATAAAGTAAAAGTTTTATAATAAGTACAGAAATTGTACAATAAAATAGTATTCGACAAATAAACAATCATATATAATTTCAAAATTTATTTCAGCACTAAATTTATTTATCTATTTGTGACTTAAATTGTGATTAGATAATATAACTTAATTACTTGCTACCTGGAAAAAGAACTTAATAATCTGTAGTTAATTAATGGATTGACACACTATAATGAATGAATGGTTGATGTACCTTTAGTATTTTTAATTTAATTTTTTAAAATTATGTGCAAAACATGAACTTTTTGATTTTTTAATAAACAGTAATCTGTTATTTTAATAAGATGAGTAATAATGTCTTACTTGTGTAGTCAAATTCAAATATTTAAGCCGAATAAGTCTACTTAATAATCTATGTTGCTTTTATGTCAATTTAATTTTCCCTATTTCATTCATGTATTGCATATGATGACATTTACTTACTCTAATGAGATTTTATTTTCTGAATTTGTAATAAGCAGATTTATATTATTATTATTATTATTATTATTATTATTATTATTATTATTATTATTATTATTATTATTTTATAAGTATGGTGTGTTACTGGGTTTTCTGTCAAATATATGAAAAACTGTTTATTATTAAAGTAAAGAATGTTTTTTATTTTTTGCACGGATGGATGATTTTTATTTTTTTATTTATTTATTTATTTTGCAAATCACGGATGGATGAATTGATGGTTGTGAATGGTCAATAAGCAGATTTATATTATTAATAATATTAACATTATTAATATTATTATTATTGCTTTATAAGTAAAATCGACTGAATCTGTCGTCTTTTGTTTTTTCGTCGATGGATGAATGGATGGATGTGAATAGTTATATTTGTTGTATATTTTTTTTATATGAATGCAATGTTATGTATTAATGTTGCTACGTATATAGTGGTAGTGATAGTCTAGATTAACCTTAAACAATGACTAAATTAGAAAACATTGAAAAAAGATAAGAAATTAAGTAAACAATGATAAAATGCTTTTATTTATTCTAGTAGTCTGCATGTGCGTATAAAATATGTAAAATCCATATTTTGATATGGATTGTATTGTGAGGAATCAATAAATTCCTTTATTTTAGGAGATATCGAATTCCAATTTATATTTCAAATTACATTCCCAAATTTGTAGGCTGTATAAGTCATAAAGGCTGATTCGGCTTATTCAGTTTTATGTACAAAAAAAAAAAGAGAAAAAAAATCGGAATTTAATGGTATTGATATATGAGATTGTATGATGGGGAATAAACAAATTCCTTTATTTTAGGATATATCCGATTTTAATTTGTATTTCAAATTAAATTCCTAATTTGTAGGCCTCCTAATTCATAAATGATGATTTGTTTTTATGTAAAAAAGAAAAAAAGAAAAACAATCTAAAATAGTAAGCAATTAATGTTGTCCTAAAATTTCTAGTTACTATTTATGGTAAATAGTAATTCTTATTATATATATATATATAGATATAGATTATATACACACACTAGAACTCTGATATGCATTTGGAAGGATATAAGTAAAATATTCTAAATTTTGTGTATACACGCATAATATGGCTAGATCAGTGTTCAAAAAACAGTTCTTGATGCCTCTTTTCTCTCTCCAATGGCGAAAATCCCCCAACTTTGTCTATAGAAACTTAGCCTCCACGGCGCCTCCTCTCGGCAGGGGCACTAGGGTCACAACGTCTTCCCGACGATCCTTTGCGTCCTCAACCGACATGGCGCTTTGTCCCTTGTTTACGGGCGGCCATGGCGGATTCTCGGTTGGGCGTCGGCGATGTGTCGGTGACTGTGCTATGGGCGTTTTTGCAGTATTGCGGTGGAGTGGCTGAGGTCGGCGGTGGTCTTTGTACCCTGATTTCCTACTTCTCCATGGTGTGAGGAGGGTGGGACAGGGTGGTTTCGGCTACAATCGTTTTTTGCCGCTCTAGCGAGATCATGTTGGGGGTGAGATTGGTGCGGGTCTCCTGTTGTTGTCCCGGTTGTGTTACCTTTGGGAAGGGGTGTTGGTTCAGCGATCTAGATTCGTGTGTTAGGCCGCATATAGTATCTTATCTCTTTGAGTGGTTGCTCTTGAGTGTTCGGTTCGAGTGGTGATGGTATGATGTTGTTTATCGGTCGATAAGAAGGCTTTAGTTTAATCTAGTATTAGATGTTTCTTGTAGTTTGTTTTGTTGTGGGTTGTGGTTTTTTGTGTAGTGTCATTCTCCTTTTGCGGAGCGTGTATTATCCACATGTGAGGTTTTTATTTCTGTTTAGCAGGTGAGTTAGTTGTGTTGATTCTAGACTCCTTTCGAGGTAGTCCCCCCACTGGATTCAGCTGAATAGCTGCTTTAGTCGGTTGTTTTGGTTGTGATCTATTGTTTCAAATATATATATATATAGGATGTGGTTCAAATGAGAATCAAGTCCTAATGTGAAAACCGTGAGAACCGCTATTTATAGTTGTACGTAGTGCTATGATTAATTGTGTTTTAGTGCTATTTTTAACATGGATCTATTTTCTTAAAAATAGCAACACAATTTATATTAGAATTTGTGAAAACGATAGCACCATGTGATATTAAAAATAGCATCATACACAACAAAAAATAACATCAAATACGGTTCTCACACCAGAACTAGTTTTTATTTGAACCACTCCCTATAATATATCTATATGAGATTAACTAAAACTTACAAAACCTAAGATTATATAATTATTGAATTGAAAGCAAAGGATGAGCAACGAAATAGAGCTCGACAAGAAATATAGATCGGCGGCAAAGCGATATTTATTGATGTGCGCGTCATGCTGTTCGTAAATGATAAGTTGAGTGTCGTCCCATGTAGGGCCAACGAAATTAATGCAATGTTTATAGTATGCCAACTATAAGGGCGTATTTAATAGCATGTATTTGGGAAGGTTGCATGCAAGAGGACACATAGAAGTTATGATTTTGAGGATGGGATGTCCGTTTTTGGTTGGGCAGTTTACTTTTCCTCTTTGCTTTTACACTAGAGGCACTAACGGGCTTTTAGCATATCAGCGCTGATGTATGTTAGAAGATCGCCACTTGACGTTGTCTGGTCCGTTGGCCAACTTGAGGCTCAAAATAAGATTTAATCCTGGTAAAAAACATATGGTTACACAAACCGTTTCAAAAGATATATAACTTGGGGCCTCCAGTTTTGAGAGGGCATCAAATCGCCCGATCAAGATAGTCTAGAAAGTTGTATGCCAATTAGAGTTTATGGAGAACGGTTGTAAAATTTGATAATATTAAATAACAATTAATTCTGAAAGTTAATGATAAGGTATGGGTGCCGTTTCATCAGTGATAATGGATATGCACTTTTCGACTAAGCATTAAATGATGAAAGGAAAATTGTTGCGTTTGGGGGGGGTTAACAAAATCGTCCTAGAAATTGCGTTTAAAGGGATAAGGGGATGCATGTCGAGTCCAGGAGTTATGGCTCATAATTTATTACGTGAAATGGTGCAGTTTCGAACTGTTTGATCATTGTACCTACCTAGAGGGCGTGTCGATTTGAAGTCCTCCGAAGGTTTTATAAATAGTTGGTCTTAATTCATTTTAACCTTCAGCTGTGAACAAAGCAACAGATCGTCCTTTTCACCAAGTACTTTTTATCATTTCCTTTCTTTTTTATACTTTCTCGATCGCCATCATGTTGAAAAGTAGCTACAACATGGACCTAGTCAACGCCACCGACCTGAGGGATAGGGTCGGCCAAATCAGAGAACCAATTGCATCGAGTTGGGAAGTCAGAGAGGTTAATGAGTGGCTAGAGGCCGATGAGGTGATCCCGACATCGGAAAAGTATTGGCAGCGACCGCCGATGGAGGAACTAGTAGACCGAACATGTTAGAAGTTAGCAGGAAAGCGAGCACTTTGAGTGACACTAATATAGTCCATATATGACCATACATGATATTCCAAATTTACAGCTTATCAATTCAACACACATCAATCAATATTTACAGTCTGATCATTTTTTTTAATCGTGAAATCAACATCATCAATCAATATTATCATCAGATCAACACCGATTTAACACCATCAATCAATATTATCGTTAATTCAACACACATCAATCAATCAATATGACTACGTGAGTTATTCCTACATTAAAAAACCTCACGACTTAACCACACCACCCATTGTTAAATGCAAAGCATCAATCTATCAATCACAGGTCTACACCCGAAAGAGCTGGTGTAGCTAGCTCACCGAATTAAGCCTAAAAAAGACTCCTATCTTTCAGTCTTACGTGTCTGGCAGTGAAAAGAGACCCTAGTCGGGTCTCTCGAATGAGCGAGTGGAGGACGGGGGAAGGTCCAAGAAGGGGGAAACCATTCCCCTTTCATGTGTCGCGCGAGCGCTGACAAGGTTAAACCTCCAAGAAACCGTATTATACCCCGCAAAGATGGATAATAAATCAACCCCTCCCATCAATCCTTATCTCTGTCTTTGTCTTCCTTTGTTGACTTGTTTTAGAACAGACCTGTCAAAAACGATTTCACAAATCATCCAATTTGGAGCCGTAGTCCTTCAAAATATGCCTTGTTGAGTTGCCTAGGGACGTTTCTATCCACAGTCATAGAAGACAAAGTAGTCGAACCCCCGCTCAATGTCCACTTCTGCATGCAAGTAGTCTCTCACCATAAGGTCTTGTTTACTTAAAAAGATGGATTAGACAGTTTAATCCCATTAGCTTTACACATTACTTACACGTCAATTTGTGTCCAATGTCTGCAAAACATGAAACATTTTAAAGCAAAAACAATCAATCTCACTGAAATTTGGTGAACTTATAAGAGCAAAAAAAACATTTCATTACTAATTTATGGACAACGTGATAATTTTAAGGTGGAATTAAAATGTCCCATCTTTAAGACCGGACAAAATAATTTTGTCAATCGTACATAAAAATGTGGAACCCACAAGACACAAAATTATTATCCAATCTCAACATGGTAGTAAACGTTAGATAAGATGAGCTATCCAACCGGACCTTGGAAGCTCAAGAAAAAGAGGCCTAAAAGTAAAATTCAAACTCACTGGTTTTATAAAACAATAAAACTTTTAGAATTCTAAAATTAATCCATTCAAACAATCTTACGATGCAATGAACACCACAGGAGCAAGCAATGACATTTCCGATATCTAATCATGATAAATTAAACCGACTGCAAACAAAATCAACTAAATACAAATAATTGCAAAATGCACGCAAAAAATAAAAATAAAAATAAAAATAAATAAATAAAAAAGAAGCTGGGATTAAACCCCGAAATTTAATCTTTTTGCTTAAACCAGAAAACTAAAAAATCTGACACCCAAGTTTCAGCGTTCCATACTGCAAACCATTCTGCCTCCTTCAGTATTTATATCCACACTTTTATCTGATACTTTTCCCCCTTGTCTACCTTATCACCACATATTCTACATTAACCAGTCTCGACTTATACCCTAACCTTTTGCAGACTGGAAAAAAACCACCCCACATCCCCTATTAAATCCCAGTTTTTTCATATTTTTACAGACTAAGCCATCTAAAGAAAGCCCCAACACCAATCAAAGGTGAGAGGACTTTGCCACAAGGACAAATATACCCCCACTACCTTGAAGACTGGTCGTGGCCTGACCCAACTGGGCTCAAGCTTGGGCCCACACCGTTTTCCGGCGGAGGTACAGTACCCCATTTCCCTTCGCTTTCTGATGGCTCCAGCACATGCACACCGCCATCTGTGAGTCCCAATGCAAACTGATTGGGTTCTGAAGGATGAGCCGTGATGACCAAAGGATAAACCCTCGTGCTGCAATTAATAAAAAGTTAGCATGTTATTTTCCATTTATTTATTTATTTATTTATTTTTCCTTTTTGTTTTTGTGTTTGTTGGCTTTACCTTGGATTAGAAGGCAAATAGGCTGCAGGGTTGATTCGACACCTGAGCTTCAGTCCCGCGGAGGTGAATACGCAAACGCTGCCATCGTCAAAGCTCGTGTAGATTGACTGGCTGTCGCATGAGTACGTGGCGTCGGTTATTGCAGGGCCTGTAGGGACCCACTGTTCACCAACCGACCACATTTGTAAATTTCGTAATTTTTGTCATTCTTTTACGTACTTTTTTTTTTTACATAAATATTTTCTATGTTAACATGAGGTGGGTACAGGATGTGAGCTCGCGATTATGATATCAAACATTTATTGCAATTTGTGAAAAGAAGACCAGAGGATGACATGCAGGTGTTTTTGTAATCAAAACAAGAATTGTATTCTTTCAGCAGAATACCTGCTTGACGCATTCTAACTTGGAAGCCTCGTACACGGCTATTTGTGTGTCATGAATAATCAAAACGTGAATCTGGTCCTGATGAAACTGAACACGAGTCTGTGTCAGTGGATTTGAAGCACGTCCGGAAGGAATCTGCAAGAACTTGCTCGCCTTCTTTTCCCATCCGTCCAGACTCCAAACACATATCTGAACATAAGATAGATATAAGACAACAGAAAACCAAAACAGTAAAGCAAAAACTAGAAAGATCTATTCATGTATTTGGATTGGCTCAACACACCCTTGTGAACCATATTTGTATTTTCCCAGGTCAGGAATTATAAAATACACAACTACTTCACCTGAGCATCCGCTCCGGATGATACAAGGATATCTAGGACATTTGAGAATGCAAGCCCAGTTACTCTCTTCTGATGACCTTTCAACTTACTTTTGACCTGTGTCGCACAAAAACGAGATCATGGAGGACAAGGTCAAAGTGTAAACTTATGAAATTATTGTAAGCATGCAATCAAAGTTTTAATTTGACCTCATCAACTCGAACATTGTAGATTTGTATGGTGGCGTCCTCCATTCCTATCGCAATTACATTATTGTCCTGTGGATGGAAGGCCAGAAATGTGGCTGCTGGTGGAGGGGGCATAAAAGTCGTCATTGTCTGCAAAGAAGATAATATGAATTTTTGGGAACAGGAAAAATAATGTAAAGGCCAATTTACGGAAAAAATTAGTTATCAAAACATCTAGTTGAGACCAGGAAAAAATTAAGTTAACAGAACATCTAGTTGAGAACAGAACAATACATATTTACCTTAAATGTCATCATATTAAAAAGGGAAATTTTTCCTCCTGATGCGGACATGACATAGGAGTCATTCTTGGAGAGTGCGAAACAAGGAACAGCTTCCTCGAGGTTTGTCTCACTTATGTCGTTGGTCATTAAGATCCCACTAGAAGGTTGCCAGAGTTGTGGTGCAACAGCAGAAGTTGCCTATGAAAAAATAAAATAAAACTAGAAATAATAAAACCTACATCCAATGGGAGAGACCATTTGTAAAAGAGAAAAAAAGTGAAACAACTCGAAGAAAAGGTTAAGAAAACCTTTGCTGTAGCATTCCTCTCAGTCCGTTGCCATTTCCAAAGTTTGTGGACAGCATTGTATGCTAATGCCAAAATGGCACCTCCAGAATTTGTATAAATTAGCCGAATAATCTGAAATTTAGAGAGATTGATCAAGGAATAGAAAAAGAACTAACTGTACATGGAAAAATTATACATTAAACTGAGAATGGCCAAACCCAATATGGCTAAACTGACAAACATGGAAACCCTGGCCAATAACTAGCTAGGGAAACACTCTCATATACAAACAAAACAGGACCAGGAAGAACTTTAACTTCAAGCAGCAATGGTTTTAACAAACTTTACCCTCACTGACAATAAACCATCGGGAAGCCTCAACGAACGCAGTTGAGATTGTTCGTTAATTTCCTTCAGCTTCCAAATCTTGGATTTCTCCAGCTCATCAGAAATTCTAGATTTTGCTTCCTGTACATTTCTAGCATCCCCATTCTGTCACAACAACAAAAGCAATTGGGATTCCATAAAAGAACAGATTAGAGCAAATTTCAAATTGAGAACTCAAATTTCCTCAACTAAACCCACTGGCATATCGTGACTCACCAATCCAATATTAACACCCATTGGTGACCCTCTATCTGCACTAGCGCCAACGCCTGCTGCTGAACTAGAAGCAGCAAAAGGGTTAAGAATAGTAGTTGCCTGCAGAACAAACATACTGAATTAGTAAAACATGCTAAACCTACGCCACCTCAATTATCAAATTAATAGAACATGGTAAATTTTGGGCCCCCTAGAGGGAAGACAATGTCATCACCTTCGGATTGGCTCCAGATCGATTTTCCATCGATCGCATCAGTCGAACACCTTCAGCATTGGCGAGTATTTTAACACCATTCTCACTAGTTGACACAGATAACAGGGACCCATCCTTGCTGAACCGAATGCAAGGGGAAGCCTGAGAGATATAACAGAAGTCGGTAAAATATCAGTCAGTTGTTTCTCCTAGAAGTGAGGCATTAAGTGTGGAAGAAGTTAGAATTAGATGTTACCGGTAAACCACCATCAGCATCAGTACTCATCAATAGGTTTACATTGTCCATATCCCAAAATTTAATCTTAAACTCATCACCAGCAGCCAGGAAGCGATTCTTTGTTGTGTCAAATTGGACTGGTCCAACCGAACGTTTACTGACACCAAGATATGTCCTCTTCACGGATCCTTCACTCTCATTCCACTCCACTATGAATGATTCACCGTCTTTGCTCGTACCACAGGAGAATAATCTGTTTCTCATTACGAAAACAATTAAAGGAAACAGAAAAGGAATGAGAATAAGTTAAGAAAAGAGAATAAAACATGCACACACTAATTAAGAGATACAACTATACCTAGACCCGTCAGCACTGTATGCCATAGTGGTACAAGAGTGGCCCGGAGCATCATAATCCACTCTTGAACCTAAATTATCATACAGCCACGCCTTGATCTTTCCATCAACGGCAGTTGAGAAGATGAACTAAATAAAGAGAATACATCACGGAAGAAGGATCTGAGTCCTCTTTCATAAACAAAAAACTCTCTTATAATTCATTTATAACTGCAAATGTTTTTAGTAGACTCCAGCACACGAGTACCTGAATATTTTCTTTGAAATGTGGGCATACAGAATAAACAGGTGCCTCATGACCCTCAAAATTGAACTGTTTAGTACCAGTGGCTGCATCCCATACCTATGCAACAAACATGTTCAGAGATTCTGCATATACCATACCAATCATTTGATTTTATAAAGAAAATTACAATAGTACAAACCTTAATTGCCTTGTCCTCCCCACAGGTTATAACACACAATTGCTTGTTAGGATGAGAAAAGGCAAGATCATTGACACTACCAACATGCGCATCAATCTGAAACAATAACCAGTCAAGTTCTCTTAGGACCATAGCATTTAATATTTCTGATCAAGACAAGGGATATCAAAAGATCATACAGATTCATATACGACCAGCACAAACCTCACGGTGATTCCTTAGATCGTCGCCTCCAAAATAAGCATACAAGTGGACAATGTGTTTTGAGTACGCAACACCTGAGTCACATTATAAAAATATAAATAAATAAATAAATAAGGAAAAGGAAAGGAACCATAAGCAATATCAATCAATCATACGCACATAAGCCTTCCACGACATCCTCCTCACACAAAACCATGAAGGTATTGAGAATATTAATAGGTAACCTCTTACAACATACAACTTTGTTCTGGACACTAGGCACATTCTAACAGAAGAATTTGAAAGTCACAATGGCAATTAAGGCTTTGGAGTTGCAAAGTAATCTTAACTAAGCTGGCTCAAGAAAATTTGGTCTTGACTTCTCTAGAATAGTGAAAAGTTGGTATGACATCACTACAGAAGTTAACATCTGCCACCGAGCACCTTCTTGCTCACTGGTCTCTTTTGCTAATGTCTCTACTTTAATTAGCTGAACATGAATTAGTAAATAATAATGAAACATACCAAAAAGATTTCCTTCGGGACTCCACATGACACGGTTCACGGATGCAGTGTATTCATTAGCCAAAGAAGCCTACAAGCAACTCCATACTTATAACTCAAGTAAATTCACACAGCATGACGAAAATGTAAATTTCTTAATAGGAACACCAAACCTGAAGTGTCATTGTGCAAGTTCCAATGTCCCAGACTTTAAAATTTCGGACAGCCAGCTTCTCCCCGCTACTCACTTCCCATATTGCAATCTCGCCAATGTTAGTTCCCACTGAGAATGGTGAAGGCAACAAATCACTAAAGACTGTTGTGTGCACAAGCATGTGTGTTCCAAAGATTGGTTAACCATGTGCGTTAATAAAGACTGTTGTTCGCATGCATATGTGACAGCAAACCTAGAAGTAGAGTCTGATGATGTGGGTGAAAATCCATGGTTTTCACAGCAGAACCCTGATTCAAATTTGCCATCACTGTCTTTGGTAAGTCATCAGCAGCAACGTGCAAGGCATGCGTATGGCTCTGACCAGGATATGCGACAGGCAACATGTTGATTTGAAGATTGTTAACCTACATGAATAATATGTACAAACTTTAGATTACTAGTACAGTCATTGGATGACAGTTAATGGTTGCAATATAGCAGTGACCCGGCCACCTACAGGGTAACGTTTAGATTATCCAACAATTCAATCAAAATATTTTCAAACCCAATAATAAAACGCGGTTGCATCTGAAAGTAGCTTACCTCTTCTGGAATGCCAAAAGGTCTTGACCTCTTCAATACATGTTCGGAATCTGCAGTTTGATAGTCCAGTGCTGGATTAGTAGTAGGAGGAGTCCTAGGACGTTTTAGCATAGATGCTATCATGACATATTAGACACAAGAAACGCAGTGAATTAGGCAACGGAAGTGCAGTCAAATGGGAAGAATGCAATATGGTAGGGGAACAAGTAGCAAATATCTAACAGTTTGAAATTCCACCATGGATCATTAAAAATTCCACAAAGAAAGGAAGGAAAAAAGATAAAATAAGTATTTCTTCCTCAAAAGAATTAACACACCACAACATTAAAATTCAACAAAAATGAGAACAAAACAAAAACTTGAAACAAAGCAATAGAAACAAAAAAGTTATCCAATTTCAAAAGAACCGATGTCACAGCCCTAAAAGTCAGACAGATCATAAGAATAAAGTAATTACAAGAAGTATTCGGGGGAGTTAAGCCCATGGGTCCAATAGAAATGGCTGGGTGTGGGACCGAGGATGGATTGGCCATCCATCCTGCAAGTGAATTTGTCAACTGGGCAGGGGCATGCGGAAAAGGCTGTTAAGGAAACCATCAACAATAAATACATTGATTAAACAAAAAAATATATCACAAATTAAACGGAGATAGGGGGATTGCAGAGACTTACTGCTGGACCTCCCATTGGTGGGAACCCACCAACTTTAGGAATTGAACCCATCAACTGATTAGTGACGGGTGATGGAGCCCGAGCACCATTTGGCTGTGCACAAGTGTGATCCACAAAGAGAGTTTTTATATCGGGGTTCGGTTTTGGATTCTTACAAAGTTGATGTTGCCAATTCAAACTGCAAAACTCAAGTAGCAAGCATAACAATTTAATAAAATTTGTCTCTAAGCCTGACCGAAACATCGAATAAAAATCTAGCCCAGACTTATTTGCTTCTTCAGCATATCACCTTTGGTTGATTAGTGTTCTCAATCTTGAGTTCTTCAAGGTAGGAAACTGAAGCTTATCGCGAAACAGGGGATTTGCCTCGATCAATTTCTTTAACTCGACAAGCATTATAGCTCTCGCCGTCTTAGTATCACCGTACTTAGATAGCTGTTCATTTTCCCTGACATGAAGAGTTTGCTGATAATAAGAATGATAATCATGAATGCTGAAGACAAAAGAAGCTGTGGATATCCGTTACATGGTCAAAAGCCAAATCCAGAAGATAAGTTCACACAAAACCTAATACTCCTTGGTATGCTAATAATCCAACAGCATGTATGAAATTCATATAATTAATATCAATCTAAACCTTGAAAAGCAATTAGAGAGATGAGCACATCAAATCAAGGTTTTGTAATCTCAAGAAACAGCAAGGGAATATTACATGAGAGAGATCTGCAAGAAACTGTGCACATCGGTTTATACAGATTAATAAACAACATAAGCCAGAGGTTCATGAAATTCAATATGAATAATACAACGCCACCCCCCAACTTTAAATTTTAGGAGCAATGACGTAAGAAATAACATATGATCAGCCTCAAACCCAGAGAAAAAAAATAAGAAAGTAATTATATTATATTTGTCCAACACTCAAGGTTCAATATTGTAATCAATTAAATCAATCTCACCATATATAAATTTGAAACAACCAATTTACTGATATGAATGAACCCAGTCTGCAGACGTCATTCCAAACAATTCAGGAACAAAATTTTTGATCTAATATAAAAAATTTACATGCACCGTCCTAACTGGGATTCATTAGAATCACACTCCAGGACAGGAAAGTGAGAAAAAACATTCTATCAACAAAGAACCAAACAAATCTCAATTATCCACCTACTAACAAACTTGCACTGAAAAGNAAAAAAAAAAAAAAACAAGAAGAAGAATAAGGAGATACCTAAAGTTCTGCAAGGTCAACAGCATTGTGATTTCTTTAAACAGATCCTCATTGAAATTAGAAAATGTTTTCAGATCTTTCCTTAGAATGTCCACAGCCTTCGAATTGTCACGCCTGATGAATGAGCAAAAGCAAAATCAGAACACCCAGAAAAAATAAAAAATAATAATAAAAAAAACTCCATCACCAACTTTATCAAATTAGGTAAATAAAACCAAAATCCAAAAAAATTCAATCCTCACTTGTCGAGGGCTTCAAGAAACTTCTGCTTTCGGATCTCAAAGAAGATCTTCATGGAGTACCGGTTGTCTTCGACCTTCGTAAACCCTGCCAAATACTTCTCCACATCTTCCCATTCTCCATTAGTCACTGCATCCTCGAAGTACCTCATGTTGAAGAAAAACCCTGACTCCTTCTCCAAACTTAAAAGCCATTTCAACAACATCCAAAATCAGCATTAGCTACCAAACTTGACCACAAAACATAAAGAAAACACTTGAGATTTCGAGTGACCCCCTTACCTGTGCACAGTGTCCTTAAATTTCTCCTCATCGAGAAATTGCAGAATCAAAAACACGAGCTCTCTGCTTAAAGAGGTCATCTTCTCAAACGATCAAAAACCAATTCCAGGGCTCCAGAATTCCACAGATCCGCTAACCCCCCAACAACACTTCCAAAAATTGAACAAAACCCACAATCAAAATTAATAAACCCAAAATCCTTGCAACAAGAGGCACAATCCACTGTCAGCGACAACAATTAAAGCAGCTCGCCATGTAAAACCACAAAATGAAAAATAAAAATAAAAATACACATAAAAGTGAAGCAAAGCCCCCACACAATACAAAACCACAGGCGCAAAAACCACACTTACACCTACAAAAAAATTATTACCTCGAAATTCGTGAAGAGAGTGAAAGGAAGTACAGATCGATAATTTTATGCTCTTACTTTACCTTTTTTGGGTTTTTTCCGGCAACTCTTTTCTTCTCTATTTTTTCGCCCTTCAAACACTCCACCTATCTCTCTCTCTCTCTTAATATGTACTCGATTCTCTCTCTAGTTCAAATTATAAAGTGGGCACGGAGGTGCGGTGCGTGTAGTGCGTGAGAGAGAGAAAGAAAAAGGTGGTGCTTTGAAAGGCGATAACAATCCAAAAATTAAAAAATGGTAAAAGAACGACGCGCCTGTGGCGCGTGTTTGTCAGTCGAATGGTTACGTATGCGAATTGCGCCCACGTGTCGTGTTCACTAAGCACGGCTATGTACGTGGGGATAAGATAACTCGCCACGTGGTTAACGACAGGGAGGCGCGAGTGGGTCTATATGTTCCTCGCTGTTCGTATTAAATGGGAATGATAAGCATGTATTTTAATGATAAGGTATCTTTTATAGAGATAAGAGCTTAGAGTTTAAGGAGTGATAAGTAGTCCTGATTATCGTTTGGAGATAATGCGTACTTCGAGAAGAGGAAATGGCGTGAAAGTCGTTCATGTACTGGAAAAGTGACGTGACCGATGACTTTAAAAGTAAAGATATTACTTATTTCATTATTTATTTTGAAAAGGATATACGCCTTCATTTTTACCAATACATGGAATTCAATGATTCAAGATTTGGAAATACATAATATTCATTCTATTTTGATTTCAACGCGTTTTCTTTCAAGGAAATTTATCAAATTACTTGTTACAGATTATTAATAAATCATATTGGCATCCACTATTCCACTCTATCAAATACTCTGAATAAAATTATCAATCTTGTACAATTAATCAACTTTCATTATTATTTTCTTAATATTTTTCTAATATCCACTTTATCCTTTCGGACAAAAATCGTTGTAATTTCGACCAAAACTTGTATATTTTATAAATCATCCAGTTGAGACAAACATCTTTATAATTTCGATCAAAACTTGTATATTTTCCAGTTGAGACAAATATCTTTATAATTTCGATCAAAACTTGTATATTTTTCCAGTTGAGACAAACATCTTTATAATTTCGATCAAAACTTGCATTTTTTATAAATCATCCAGTTGAGACAAACGTCTTTATAATTTCGATCAAAACTTGCATATTTTATCGATCATCGAGATGACCATACTGAAAATTGGGTCGGTCATTCTTACCATTAGCCTTATTCTTCTTATGATAAAATCTATACTATAATGAGCCTAAATAAAATATACTATTGTATTATATTTTAAATTAATATACATATCATACAAATATTAGTAAGTATTTTAAAGGAAATTAATATACACAGATTACATTTATGCAAAGTTTCATCTGTTTATTATTGGAATCTGGACAAGAACTTAAAAGTAAATTTTGAAAATATTCAATTTGAAGATTATTTTGATTGATATTCTAAATATGTAATTGAAAAGCATAAAGATTATCTAAACTTGCAAATGAATTTTATTGGTAATGCTATGGTAAGTATAATGTGTATTATCAAATTATAATTTGTGAGAAAATGATATTATATCTGTATAATGCAATGCGGATTGAGACTTGGTGATTTTACTTTTTACAAAAATTACGTGCATTTAATGTTCAATTTTAGTGTTAATGAAAATAAAAGGTTACAAAAAATAAAAATTGTGCTTTTACAGTTTTATTATATTATTATTATTTTCAAAAACCAATTACTAGAGGCAATAGGGGTCTAACAAAAAAAAAACTACGTAATTAAGTACGTATGAATGTTAAAGTAGGGTCAATACATACTAGTACTTTAAGAAAAATGAGAATATAGCCAAAATTTTGTAACAATATTTTTATATTTTACAACTGATCAAGAAAATGAGAAGAGATTTGTTAATTAACAGTTTAATACACGTTATCGTAACAACTACTTCTCAAATGTAGGGTGTGATTGACTACAGCAGTTATTCGGTTTCGATTAATTCGGATGATATTATTAAATTGTATTGAATTTAATCCAAATTAATCCTTCTTAATATTATTAATATTAAATAATGTTCATCAATTATTGGTACATATTACATCCATTTTAATTAACTATTCATCTATACACATATTTTTATTTACGTATCATTTTCAGTAACATCTCTCATATTTTTAGATAAACTTTAATCATTATATTTGAACTATTATTTAAATATATACTTAAAATCTCATTAAATCTTTCAATCAAACAACTTTATTTCAAATTAACTTAATTTAAATAGTAAATTCAATCAAAATCAATTTTATTGATATCCAATTGCATAGTTGTGTCATATTTCTAAGGGAACATGTTACAACAATGACCAATCCAATTCATTTTCTTTTTTAATTCATTAAATTTGCTATATGTACTTTGCGCAAAAAGTTACATTCTAAATGACCTTTTTTTGTGAGTGTGTATAATCTATAATGAAACATATAAAGACGACATTATGCAAAAGATACATGACGTTATAGTCTCAATTATTGATTGTGAAATTTTCCCCCACTGACTTACTTTGGCACGACTATTGTGGGTAGATATTGAAAATCTCATTTCCATAATTGCAACTCGTAGTTTTCTTCCTTTAATTTATCTTTTAATTATTTATTTTTATTTTTATTACTGATTCTAATTTTATCAATTATTAACCAAATAAATGACGTTTTGAATTTTTTTTACATATTTTTCCATTATTACCCTCATTTAACTAATAATTACACTACATCTTTATATTCACTCTTTATTTTTTCTCAAAACATTCGTTCTCTATCTTCTGAGGGTTATTATTGATAAAAAAAATATTCTTAATTATTGTGCAACTTCTCAAAATGACACTTATAAAAAATAAGAGGGAGTATTATTTAGGAGATTGAATATACTTATTCAATAATGCTAAAGAGCCAACTGTTGGCTCTGTTATGGAGCTGTCCCATTGGTTGTTAGCTCCATAACGGAGCCAACAGTTGGCTCCTTAGCATTACTGTATACTTATTTACCTTTATTTCGTCGAATAATTATTTTCACTGAAAACTACGATAAGATATATTACCTCTTTTTTTTTTTAAATGCCATTGTGGCTTTATCAACAATTAACCAAATAAATAACGTTTTGGATCTTTTGTACATATTTTTTTCATTATTACCTTATCTAGTTAATAAATACACTACATCTTTTCATATTCACTTTTCATTTTTTATCAAAACATCCATCTCTATCCTCATTAATGAAGGTTATTATTGGCAAAAAAAAATTATTAATTACTGTGCAAATTCTCAAAATATATACTTATTAAAAAAAAGGAGGAAGTAGTATTTTTAAATTATTATTGATATACTCCCAAATTTTTCCCTCAATCTTATTAACACAATTAATAATGATACTAGTACTTATTAACAGAACTGCTTATTTATCTAATTATCAATCATTTGCATTCATTACGAGACTATTTTTCTATTTTATTATTTTAAATAATTAGATTTTGCTAATATTCACAAACTCATGAAAAGCTCTTTAAATTATTTTTCAATTCAAACAATTTTCTCATCAAAATATTTTTATTTTATCTTTTATCTTTCGAACTTCTCTTAATAAATATAACCTTTTGATTGGTCTATTTTTCAAACAAAAGGTTTTCTCGCATATCTGTTGCCATTAAGGTACATGATCTTGATCACTTTTTTATTGTAAAATAAATCCTCACATTTGTTTGTATTTGCCATCTCAGTCTTTTAATCTTTACAGTAAAGTTAACAAGCTTTTTATTTTTACAAATTGAAGCACACACCCAACAAACCGGCTTGCATGTTCCGGTTCGTTACCGGACATAGAGGGTAAAAGACACGTCGCAAATGAAAAAAATATATATGTAAAATTAAGTTGTGTCTAATGTTCTTATTTCTCACACCTAAAATTTTGGAGTTCCATTGCTTTTGTATTGTTCGATCCAAGATCTCATTCGCTGACTCATTTGAATATGTTGACATTCAATTTCAATTATAGTTCATAAGCGAGTTGCATATTTGTAAAAACTTTTAATTTTTCCCAAATATTCCGTATAATTTCTAAAAGCCTCATGGCATGCTTGTTTACAAATTATTTCATTTTCAATCCAATTCATACTCAAAATCTAAATCAACTTTAACCCCACCTCATTATCTTTAATATTATTCATATAATTAAATAATACAAATTAATCATTCTTACACATCACATTAACTTTAATTTACTATTCATCCACTCACATAATTTTAACTACCTATCATTTCTAATCATTTCCAATCATTTATCTCTTACTTTTACATCAAATCAATTTTAATTATTTTATTTTAAATATTATTTTAATACATTCTTAAAATTTCACTAACAATTAACCATACTACATTTTTCAAAATTAACTCTACTTAACTAAAATAACTCATTTTGAATGAAATATTTCATAAACAAGCACGCCTTCAATTTTCCGCATAGCGAG